TTCCATGTTGTACGAGTCACTTAGATTTTACAAATACGTGTGCCGGGCTGTGAACGGCTCACGTATGTGTAAAATCTAAGTGACTCATACAACATGGAATTCATATAACACAGAATTATCTACAGTGTTATAGAGGGGTATACAGTATATTATTATTATTATTATTATTATGTATTTTATGTAATATATAATTTGATTCGAATAAATTGTTTTTGTAGAATTTTGTTTAAATTGTAAATAATGAAAGAATATGTGCCATCTTAGTACAGAAACTTATTGATATTTTAGCAGAAAATGAAGGTTAAAATAAGTGCATAAAACCAAAAATGTAGATTTTTAATTATAATGAAATGCAATGAATTTCTTGAAAAAATATGAACATACAATTTAAATTGTGTGTGTGTATTTTAAATTTAAGATAATAAATTTGATCATTATTATATATTTTAAAAAGATAATAGATTGCATTACAGTTAAATTGCTGATATGGTAAAGGCATTGTCACTCTGAAAAACCTGTTTGAACTCTGGATGGATCCTCAGAAATTTTTGAGCGTTGTTTGACTTGGATATATTGTTTTATTCCCATCACTATTTAGTTAATTCATTGTGGGCTTGGCCAAATCTATGTGTATGAAATAAAGATCCTTTTACCTCGTAGATCTTAAAAGTAGATAAAAATTTAAAAATACAGTTCATTTTGTTACAAATTATATGAATAATTTTATTTACTTTTATTAATATTTGGTATAATTCTATACTGATATCAAATTTTTATGCTTTTATTAACATTGTTAAATGGCAAAAAATTCTAAAAAGATTTTAAGGATAAAAAGAAATCTTTTAAGAGAAAGATATACCTCATTAACCTTTTAAGCCAAACTGTTTTAGAGCATATTTTCTAAATGACAGTTAATTTACCAAATATTCACTGAACTGTGTCTTCTGTTCATAACAAAAAATTTTTATTGACACTGGTATAGTAATGTTTTTAAATTATATTTTCAATAGCAAATGGTTTGTCCCAAGTAATAATTTTAAATATATTCTTAATATTCTAAGATTATTTTAAATTTGTAAATGTTTGTTATAAAAATACTTTCTCAAAGAATAAACTTACAATATTTGAATTTTATTCTGTAACATTTTAAAAATAATATTTATTCTTGCATATTAAAGTTAAATTTATATTTTTATTACATAATAACTTTAATATTTTAACTGCATGCATTAAAAAGGTCTCATAGATGAATAAACAAATAACTGCATAGTTTAGGAATCAAAAAATTTTAATATACAAAACACCTTTGGTCAACTTCTGCACACAAATACATATTCAGCAGGATAAATTGATATAGAAATAATTAACTTTATCCAGCAAGTTTAACTTGCTGGATAAAGATAGTGTTGTTTTTATAAACTTAGACTAATCTAGTTTACACCTGTTCATGCCTGTCACAATGAAATAAAATTATATGTTGAATATAATTAAAGTTCAATATGATCTTGTTTTACGTGGGTTGTGTATCAGCAGGTACCACAAAAAATAAATTTGTGCTCCACCCCAAGTATTCCCAGATGATTTCCTAGATAATTAAGTATCCATTTACAATTAACAGAAAAATGTTAAATGTATTAAAACATAAAGTAAAATGTTATTAAACTATAATAACATTTTACTCCAATGTTTTTAATATATAGAGCAAAATTTTATTATATTGTATTGCGTACACTAATTTAGAAAAAATACATATAAACTAGGGTATTCAGCACAATGAGTAGTATTCAGTAGTTTTCTGTTTTGAAATTTCAGTACCTGGAGAAGCATACTTTGCTGATATGATTAAGTCAGCAAAGTATGCTTCTCCAGGTACTGAAATTTCAAAACAGAAAACTACTGAACACTACTCATTGTGCTGAATACCCTAGTTTATATGTATTTTTTCTAAATTAGTGTACGCAATACAATATAATAAAATTTTGCTCTATATATTAAAAACATTGGAGTAAAATGTTATTATAGTTTAATAACATTTTACTTTATGTTTTAATACATTTAACATTTTTCTGTTAATTGTAAATGGATACTTAATTATCTAGGAAATCATCTGGGAATACTTGGGGTGGAGCACAAATTTATTTTTTGTGGTACCTGCTGATACACAACCCACGTAAAACAAGATCATATTGAACTTTAATTATATTCAACATATAATTTTATTTCATTGTGACAGGCATGAACAGGTGTAAACTAGATTAGTCTAAGTTTATAAAAACAACACTATCTTTATCCAGCAAGTTAAACTTGCTGGATAAAGTTAATTATTTCTATATCAATTTATCCTGCTGAATATGTATTTGTGTGCAGAAGTTGACCAAAGGTGTTTTGTATATTAAAATTTTTTGATTCCTAAACTATGCAGTTATTTGTTTATTCATCTATGAGACCTTTTTAATGCATGCAGTTAAAATATTAAAGTTATTATGTAATAAAAATATAAATTTAACTTTAATATGCAAGAATAAATATTATTTTTAAAATGTTACAGAATAAAATTCAAATATTGTAAGTTTATTCTTTGAGAAAGTATTTTTATAACAAACATTTACAAATTTAAAATAATCTTAGAATATTAAGAATATATTTAAAATTATTACTTGGGACAAACCATTTGCTATTGAAAATATAATTTAAAAACATTACTATACCAGTGTCAATAAAAATTTTTTGTTATGAACAGAAGACACAGTTCAGTGAATATTTGGTAAATTAACTGTCATTTAGAAAATATGCTCTAAAACAGTTTGGCTTAAAAGGTTAATGAGGTATATCTTTCTCTTAAAAGATTTCTTTTTATCCTTAAAATCTTTTTAGAATTTTTTGCCATTTAACAATGTTAATAAAAGCATAAAAATTTGATATCAGTATAGAATTATACCAAATATTAATAAAAGTAAATAAAATTATTCATATAATTTGTAACAAAATGAACTGTATTTTTAAATTTTTATCTACTTTTAAGATCTACGAGGTAAAAGGATCTTTATTTCATACACATAGATTTGGCCAAGCCCACAATGAATTAACTAAATAGTGATGGGAATAAAACAATATATCCAAGTCAAACAACGCTCAAAAATTTCTGAGGATCCATCCAGAGTTCAAACAGGTTTTTCAGAGTGACAATGCCTTTACCATATCAGCAATTTAACTGTAATGCAATCTATTATCTTTTTAAAATATATAATAATGATCAAATTTATTATCTTAAATTTAAAATACACACACACAATTTAAATTGTATGTTCATATTTTTTCAAGAAATTCATTGCATTTCATTATAATTAAAAATCTACATTTTTGGTTTTATGCACTTATTTTAACCTTCATTTTCTGCTAAAATATCAATAAGTTTCTGTACTAAGATGGCACATATTCTTTCATTATTTACAATTTAAACAAAATTCTACAAAAACAATTTATTCGAATCAAATTATATATTACATAAAATACATAATAATAATAATAATAATAATATACTGTATTTATTTCTTTAGAAGTTTAAAAATATATTTTATGCAAATTTTTCAAGGATAACTTTTTCTTTTGCAATACTATCTGAAGATTTCTTAGAGGAAGAGATAGCATAAATTATTTATATTATACAATTTGAATAGTAGTCCTTGAATCACTCAATAATTATACAAACCAATTATTAATTTCCCTTTTTTAATTTAATGTTTTGTTTCTAAATTTTGTTCCTAAATGTATTTAAAATTAGGTCAGTTATTACATTTAAAAATATTTAGGCTATTACATAATAAAATCAGCAATCAGAACATATGTATTTTCATAATAATTTAAATCATTTTTAATTAAAAAAAATATATTTAATGATAAAATTTGTTATAAAAATGTAAAAGTAAATGAAATTGATTACAATTTCTCCCGGGAGAAATTGTAATCAATTTCATTTACTTTTACACGTGATTTTCACTTAAAACTGTAGCCGAATGATCATTTTTTTTTCTTAAATATAAAATTCGAACTAAAAAAGTCCATTTTGAAATTGAGGAATTCGTTTTAAAATACTCACCCGGACTTCGAAGCATTGGTTGCTTTAATGCTATAAATTCTAAGCTTATTTGCAATATCTTTCAACTCTTGCAGGGTAACGTTATCGAGAGAAGCCATTTCTATTCGAAAAATTTGCCGGCAACTTTCTCGTGTACTTTCTTTATGGTAGAAATTTCGTAAAAGATACGCGCTCGCTAATTCGTTCTCGTGTCCTATTGGTGACCTTCGCTATTCGACTGACGTCACAGATAAGGTGACTTCAGGAAATAAGTGTAAAATAGAGAAACGTGTTGAATCACTATCGAGTTCTTACTGGGTCAAACGCTCTTTGCACAACTTAACCAGACAAGTTTTATCGGTAAATTACTGTAAAGAAACAATTATCAAAAGTTGCGTTAAATAACATTAAAAAAAATAATAATAATAAATAAGTAAATATATATTATAGTACGAAATGTTTACGTAAAAATAATATAAATAAATAACTTTATGGAATAATTATTACTTTCAAGAAAAAATATATTCGGAAATTCACCGGAATGATTTTTCCTGGAAAGAATGTTGTTTTGTCTCTTCCTTTTTAATAGAATTTTATTAATTTTTTCCTGCAGTTTTTCCCCAAATAAATTGCCTTTTCCGAGTGTAAAACTAAACATTTACAGAATTTCCTTTCCTTTGATTTTACAACACGTTACAAAAAATATTTTAAAACTTATTATATGAATTTTGTAATATTTAATATACTGTATGTGGTAAAACGTAAAGACTGGATTGTATTTAAAATCAAAACAACAAACATAAATTCCTGTAAATTTCGTTTATAGTAAACGTTTTCGTCTTATCGAAAGGTTTACCTATTCTTGTGATTTCCCTTGAATTGTCGTAAGTATAAATTACCTCTTGCCGAAACAAAAAGAAAAAAAAAATATTTTGCAAATTACCCAAATGCAGCATTTATCACAACTTGTGTAATATGAACGAAATACACAATTTATTGGAAAATATATATTCTAAGAGAAGGTGGGCAAGACGTGGAAGTGATAGCCTGCATTGCGTTTAATAAATGAAGTAACTTAGTAGTTAATATTGCAACTAACTCTGCACACCAGAAAAAGTAGATTATGATAAAATTGCTGTTGTTGTTGTTCAGTTCTTTTTGCCTACGGAGGCAATAATGTGTTCGACAGCCAAAAATGACATGTTGTAACTTGTTACGTTTTAAAAACACCGGCATGTAAGTACAGTAATGCAAATTTTCTTAAATTTTCTTTTTTTATTCCTTCTCTCAGTAGAGAATTCTTTTATCTTGACGTGACTGTATAAAATCTTTTATTAATATCATTGATTACCAAGGAGATTTTCTTGGTAATCAATGATATTGAACCTCCATAGTTATGCAAAACTTCAAAATGACATCTTGAAGCAAGATTGGGAAGTGGTGTGTGGGGCAAAACGGGGTAATTACCTTCGTATATCTCTCGTCACTGAAGTGGATATTTGAATTCTGTTTCAATGGAACGTTGGATATGCTGTTTAACATGTCACCGATTGCTCATGTGCCGGTGAGGTTCACCACATTTGCATATTGTCTTCAACAAAAATAAATTGCAATGGTGTAAAAATTTCTGTAATAAATCCTAAATGTTGTTTCATTGCAAATTTAATGTTTAATCTTTATAATTATGAAAGATAAATTTAATTTTAACAATTCCATATCATCCCAAAACACATCTTTCTACAAGACAAGATGGAGTAAATATTTTGACACGATTTCATAAACATTGTAAAAAAAAAAGTTAATAATTTCAGTCTTTTGTTGATTGTAGTTGAAATAAACATTTTTGAGCCTTCAATGACAGAAAATTTTTTCCAGGTTTAAATAATTATAAAAAGAAAAAAGTTCCTTAACTACACCATCTTGCACCACCTTTCTCTTTAAAATAATTCGTTACTACAGTAATTTTTTTTTTTTGTAATAACGATTATGTGCGCCAGTGCCGAAAATTGACAATGCCTCTAACAGGGTTCCTCGTTCCTCGGAGAAACACAGCTCTAGAAAGTTGGAATATTCCATTTACTGTAGCCTAGGAAGACCCTTCAATAAGGTCGAAACCGTTTGCGATAAACGTTTGCTCGAATTTATGACTGTTGTTCAGATTTTACGCAGTATATCTCTCATAAATATTTAATTTCATATCAGTGTTAATGATTTTATCAGTTAGAATTCTCACTTTATCAGACAAAGTTTCACAATTTGAATTTTTTATATATTTTGTAAAGAAATTTATTCAAATTTTCAATAAATAACCATTTATGCTTTTTGTGTAAATTATTTATAACATTATTAATTGATTACTATTAAGCATATAATGTAGACTATAGTCCTTTCAAGTTAATTAACAGTTATTAAATACTTGTAAGGGAGACATAAGGAGGTGCCTCTATCTTTCTTACGTGTCATTAGGTTAAAAGATATCGGGTAAAAGTTATCCATCTGTATTAAAGCCACTTTAACAAGTCAATTATGAAGTATTTTTTATACACAGATTGTGCAATTAACTTTTATTATTTTAAATAATATTTTTGAAGCAATAGGTTAGAAATAACAGAGAAATTACTTTTTGAGAAAATAAAAATGACTGTATAAGGGAATTTTATTTTAAAGATTTTTAGTATAAAAATATTATAATCTGTAAGAATTTTTCTTTATTATAAACGTTGTTTTAAATGCTAATTATATACCAGGTCTGGCGTTTGTGGCACAACATATCCAAGGTGTGCTTTGATGAGAAAACAAACCTCTCAATGATCAGGGGTATAATCGTGCTTGTATTTGGTTACTGTGAAAAACATAAGACGAGGACTTTCCCTCTTCCAAAAACATCACATATCGAGTTATCTCAGCTTGCAGTGGTCATGGCTGCAATGATGCAGAGATAGAGTGCTTGCTTGCCTCTCTCTCCCATCTGACAAGCGGTGAAATCCTACTGGAAAACAAGGATTTTGTGCTGCAAAAATAAATTTTTAAATTTATTTTTGCAGCACAAAATCCTTGTTTTCCAGTCCATTCCGAAACCTTCTTACTAAATTTAAATGTTTTATATTTGACGAAGTTTAGCTCGGTCTTTCTTTTTGTAATGAAAGGCCAAATGGAATTACAAAATGAAGAAGGATTTGTATTGTGTAACGAATAACGGTAAAAGGTTATGTATGGCCATATGCTGCTCAACTCGATTCGTCGGTTCTAGGTATCCAACATGGTTTGCAAATACTACAGTATTTGCGTATGTCTGTTTGCCTGGCTCGTAGCAGCAAAGGCTTTTTGGGCTAAGCCTCCCGAAGTACTCTACAGCTCCTCAGAAAATTGGGGAGTGGGAAATAATATGAGAAAATAGGTCCAACAGTAGACCGGCAGTACACTTTCGTACTGTACTATTTCGTATTACAGTACAGTACTTGCAATTTTCGTACTGTAACGTAGCAGCCGGACTGATTTCGCTTCTGTTTAAAGAAAACTTATTTTCATCCTAGAATATTTGGAGTATTTTACAACTTGCAATTAAATACTCTTAAATAAAAGTAACTTAATATTTTACAAAAAGTTTTGAAAAGCAATCAAATACACGCGGCTTTTCACAAGGAATCTAATTGTATGTTTTAAAATCACCAAAATGTCACATTCGCCTAAGGACGGTTTTATCATTAGGCGAACTTAGGTGATCGCCTATGGGCCGAGAGGATAAAGTCACTAAACACCGGTATTTTGTGGTGAATTGGTGCCTCGCTAACTGGCTGGCTAAGTGGAGTTTTCCGGATTTTCCTCACGTTTGTAACACCTAAATAGGAGCAGTGGTGGATTATCCAACAGCACACTAGATGCGCCTCTAGGACCTCGTTGTCTTAAAATTACATGGAAAAAATATAATATGCCTGTAAAAATTTAGTGAAAGTTTAATAAATATGTATTACAAGGATAACACTTGTTATTATTTACTGATTTTATTGTCTTTTTAATATAAAAAAACACTGTACATAGAGGGCCTTATAACAAAATTGCGCCTAGGGCCTCAAAGGAACATAACCCGATACTGAATATGGTCCAATTTCTCATATTAAATCCTCCTGAGAAGCTTCTTCGTTGGAAGATTGTCCACTGGTCGCGTTGTCGTATTCAAAATAAACACAAATACTTTTAAACAAAGAAAAGATAGATCGTTAATTAATGGAAAATGGCAAAGGTTAATCAAAATCGATCGATCACATTTTGAGAACGAACACAATAAAATATGTTTTGGCTGAGGGGACACGAATTCTTAATTGCATTTACACTTAATTGAAAAAACGTGAAATGGCATATGAAATAATTTTCATGTCATCTCGTTTCGTAATACCAAATAGTTTTATAAATAATTTATTAATGATTGATAAAGCTGCGACCGATAATTTCCGAAAGATAAACTGTATACATAAATAATTTATATACTTTTTCAAGGTTTACATTTTTTAACACGATTAATTATTCTTGACGTTTAAACTTGCGAAAACAAGTTTAAACAATGGCGTCGTCGAACGGTGCACACTCGGTAAGTAATCCTACAATTTTTTGTTTATAGCATAGTTTATATGNAAAGTAGTATTAACAGATTATACAAAGATGTGGAGCCATACAGGCCATTCAGCTTATTCTACACCTAAGGGACCTTGTACTATGATTTCCAAGCACTGAAAATGGTCCCTGTTCCTTATAGTTAACCTTGTAGTATTTTGATAAGCCCTTTCTGCTTATTTATAAATTTTGAGTTCTGTAGGTTAACAACAAATCAGTAAGAAAGGGCTTTTATTGGTTAACTAAATGATCAAGAGATACAAGGGTACAAGGTTTCTTACACATGGAATGAGCTAAATGGCTTTTATGATTTCATGCACCTTGTGTGATCTGTTTTTATACCATTTCATTTTATTTTGCTTTAATTTGTCACATGTAAACAGTTATCTCAACATGATTTAATAGAGAAGTTATATTATTATGTATAGTTAATGTTATGAGCTCCAATCAGAGAAATCCACAGTTTGTAGGATTCAAACTTTTGGTTTGAATCTATATTACTTTCTATTATAATTCAAAACTCTTAGCCTGATAAAGATCATTTAAACAGGTTGAAAACATTCATTTATTGAATTGATGCTGGTTATTTAAGGAGTACTGTTGTTTTATTATGATTTGAAACTGTTTAATACATATTCATTAGAGCACTAAATAGATTCTAGACAGTTTAACAGAAAAAGCACAGAAAACTTCATCAGTTACACAAGGAAGAAATTAGATGTTAATGTGCTTGTTATGTTTTGTTTATTATTAA